ATTCCTCATCAACTACAAGAAAATGTTTTGGAAGAAGGAAGTAAATTCTCATAATTACTCATTAAAACAAGAAAAACACATGCAATGTTACCTTTTTATTATTATTATTTATTTATTTATTTTGCTGTCAAAATAAAATTAAACATTGTATTGTCGGTGTGTGTATCTCCACTTTAAGTGTCGTTAATTCAGGATTGTATTCATAATTCATTTGGCATTTCAGAAATTTAAAAAAACAATAGAGATTTGCAGCTATAGAAGGAATGACCTTTTAACAGCGTACGACCTTTTCATAGAAACGACCATAAACGCAGTGTGTACATGTGAGTGTAAACAGTTGTTCCAATGATGAGCTCTCCTCCCTCCTCTGTGTGTCTCACCTGTGCAGGTGGAGAAGTTCCTGTCGGCCAACACTCAGGAGCTCAGCAAAGACAAGTGGCTGTGTCCTCTGAGCGGGAAGAAGTTCAAGGCTCCCGAGTTTGTGCGCAAACACATTCTCAACAAGCACGGCGAGAAGGTCTCTGGTGTCCGGCAGGAGGTTGAGTTCTTCAACAACTTCTTGTTGGACGCTAAAAGACCTGCCCTGCCTGAGAACAAGCCCCTCCCACCGCCTTCACCAGGTTGTGCCCCTGGGACTCTGTTTTGCCTTCTATTCACGTTACTGTTTTTTCTTTTCTGATGCGTTTCCTTCTCTCCGCCTTTAGCCGCTCCTCCGGGTTTACCAGGATTTCCCGGACAGTCGCCGCAGCAGCAGAGCCTTCTGGGATATCCGCCTGGAGTCAGACCACCCATGCCCGGTTTCCCAGGTGTATATATAAACACAAACATAATAGAATTTAATTAAGTATTTAAAATGAAAAAAACCTCAGCTTTGCTTTTTCAGTGCAGTGATGCAGTCGTTTAAGGTGTATGTGTGTGTGGGTGTTTTAGGCGGTGCACTCCACCATCCACCAAACCAGTTTGGAGCTGGGCGGGGTAACTATGACAACTTCAGAGGTCATTTAGGAGGCGGCGGGGGGTTTTCTGGGAAACAGCGAAACAGCAGGTAAAGAACATGCGCCGTGACGACAACACAGTGGAGTGTATGAATCACATCAGTTATCTCACTGTGTGTGTGTTTGTTTGCAGGGGCATGCGAGGCGACCCTCGCTCCATCATCGAGTACAGAGACCTCGACGCTCCGGACGACCTCGACTTCTTTTAAGCACCAGAAGCCCCAAGATTGTTTTTTTTTTTTT